CGTTAGGCAAACTGTCCGTCAGGCGATGAGTCTTTAGGCAAACTGTCGTTAGACTAAATGCCTTTAGACAGATTGACCGGGTACCATGCCAGAGACCAACAGTTTAAGGTGGCAAGTATTTTGAGTGCAAGTGTTGTTCACAACAGGCGTACGCACCAAACGATAAAGAAAACGGTGCAAAATTTTGAATGGTTTCATATGACTATTGAATGCTTATGCTAGAGCATAGGCTGAGGTTCTACCCACAACACTGGATGACTCAAATTTAGAATTTCGCGGCACGCCACGTGATACACTATAGTTATAGACTGGTTTACCCTCTGCCACAACTCGTCACCAACAGACAGAACACAATTCCGATGCAAAGAGAAAGCTTCAAGATAGGCTAAAATTGAAAATGAATTCACCATTATTACTGTGCTGATTGAGCACACGAATGGGTTCTGCTCGACCTGATGAAAAAATTGCAATTGAGCCATCCATTCGACCAGCAAAAATATACCAGCCAGATGAGTTTTGATAAAACGTAACCGAATTCACAGCGAGTTTATTTGACTGTCTTATGAGAAGTGATTCCATATAATCACCAGCTCTAGAAATAAATCAAACCAATCAATCAAAACGTCGAAATAACAAATTTTAAAGTGAACTACTGAGTTTCCATGATACGACTTCATTGCACCATCAAACTGAAAAAGTTCACTCAAGGAGTTGAGGCTTTCGTTGATCCTTAACGACTTTTCGTCACCCGTCTCTAACGCGTATTCATGAAAATCTGCATTCAGCAGATGTGAACTGGAAGCCACTCATGGATCCAACGAATCTACCACTTGTGTGCGGTTCAGGACAACAAGAAATTTAAGTTTTTCCACGAGGCAAGACAATTACGGCTATGAATAATCTGCTACGAATTCCCCCATGTATCTATGATGAACTTCAAAATCGTAAAAATCGAACTGTGAATGAACAAAAGTGAATACCTCTCAGAAAATATTTTCACCGTACCGTCACGACTTCCCGAGATTATTGAACCAACAGAGGTCGCAAAAACACACTTAACATCATTCGTGTGCGCAGGTATCACCCGACTTAACATGAATCCTCTATCTTTCGCTTCAGCCATTTTTATGATGACTTTCCTCCCAAGGAGAACCTGGAAAAAAACATTCGAAAGTGATCACTTATATGAGGCAATTAAAATAGTAAAAAACTCGGCAGCAAAATATTTCACGGCACGTGAATGAGTGTTTCCAGCAAAGCTTATTTGAAGTGACTGGAACGTCTTATTCTAGGATTTTTTGCGCGAACCAAATTGCAAAACGATGACAAACTTGCATTATTTCCGAGAATTCTGAATAAAAATTTGAGAAACACGCAACTTAAGTTTAAAAAGAAATGATTATCGTGAGTTGCCACATCACTCACGACGTCTGCTCAGATCCTACTAAGTCGCGTTTTTGCGAAACGTGATAAGAAGTGCCACTATTGCATCGGTAGCACTGGTTATTGTCAATTAGCAAATAATAAATAATAGTTGTACTTGGAATGATAAACAACAACAATAATAGTGCGGATTATTATTATT